TTTTTTTTTGAATTTACTTCATCTGATTAATTTATATCATGGTTAATGTTTCAAAGTCTGAGCTTTGGCCAGAAGTATGTTATTTCGTTCTTGCAATAACACCCAATTGCAATCAAATTGCATAGTTGATGTATCGTTAATATCCCTGAAGACTTTGGTCATATATTCATTTTAACATTTGATGCTTTATTGCTTGTGCAGCTGCTGTCAGAAAGGAGATTTCTGATGAGACTGATCGAGAGACAGGACGCAGCAAACAAATATCTACTGTTCCTATATATCTTAGCATTTATTCTCCTAATGGTTAGTCTCAGGCCCATTTGTAATTGATGATTTCTTAAATTTCATTGGTATAACTATTACCAAATGCTTTTGTGTAGCCATATGTTTTTTCTGTTATTAGGATAAGTGCATAGAATGAATATCTCTATCTCTCTCTCACTCACACACATCATTCTACTATAAGAGTGCTGGCACACCTTTTGTTAAAAAAACACGGAATAACTGTTCCAGCTTGGAGCATTTTATGTTGTACGTTGACTGGTAAGTAATGCAAATATCTGAGTATGCCATGAAATATTTTTTTATGCTCACTGTTCTGTGACCATCATTTTTTCAGTAATGATAATACTATATATGAGTCTCATCTTATATTTCACCATTTACTGTATCTGTAATATCTGTATGAACGCAAGTGGATTTGGGAGAAATAAATTTTTTCTTTCTTTTTGTTGTGGAAGTAATTTGTATACTTCTCTTAACTGCAGTTGTGAATTTGACTTTGATCGATCTTCCTGGGCTTACAAAAGTGGCTGTTGGTGAGTCTACCTCGACTACCTATTTTACCTTGTTATGACATTTTCTTCCAGACTTTTCCGGAATGATTATTTTCTGGATTTATCTTAGAGGGTCAGTCAGAAAGCATAGTGATGGACATTGAGAACATGGTGCGCTCCTATATTGAGAAGGTATTGATGATTATTGATTTTCTTTTGGTGGCTCAAAATGTTAGTGAGTCATTTGGTACTATTTGTGCTTCAGTAACTTATTCTTGATTTAATATCACTTGCAGCCCAACTGTATTATTTTGGCAGTATCTCCTGCCAACCAAGATCTTGCAACTTCTGATGCAATTAAGATCTCGCGTGAAGTAGACCCAAAAGGTATGGCTTTGATATCTTATAGTGGTGTGATTGGGTTCATTATAAAGAATGTCTCATGGCTTACTTTCACCAGATCTTAAGCTACTACTGTGCAACTATACTTTATCATGATTAGACATGAACATCATTCTATTCAGGTTCATCCTTTTTTATTTTTTCTGCATATTGTTTCTAACCGTTTCTCTTTCAGGAGAGAGAACATTTGGGGTGTTAACCAAGATTGATCTGATGGATAAGGGTACCGATGCTGTAGATGTAAGTCAAGAACCTTTGGCTTCTTAATACGCTGATGCTTTGTGGATTAAAGAATAGTTCTCTTGTTTGATGATTAATTAGATGTTGAGCTTTCCATACTACCTGGAATCAAGCATGGATGTTTCTTTTGCATTACTGTTTTTCTCCCATTTACTGCATTGAATTGTTGAATTAATATTCTGAAACAGGTCGTTTTTGTTATGTAAGGATAAATGAATATACAGTGATTGCTTTGTTTCTTATTTTCTTAGATGCTGGAAGGAAGAGCATATAAGCTGCAATTCCCATGGATAGGTGTTGTTAATCGCTCACAAGCTGACATCAATAAAAATGTAGACATGATTGCTGCTAGAAGAAGAGAGCGGGAGTATTTTGCTCAAACCCCGGAGTACAAGCATCTTGCTCACAGGATGGGTTCCGAGCATCTAGGGAAAGTTCTATCCAAAGTGAGCTTCTTATTTTCTTTTTTCTTTTTTTTTTTTTTT